TGGGTCTTGTCCAACAGAGGGAGTAGATTCGGTTGCCACAATTGCCTATGTCGCTCCGGGTAGCACAATTGAGCGGTATAGGATGCACTTGAATTAGGGATTCTATCTAGATTAGAGCTCTCCGCGGTATAAGTATCAAGTCAATCAATCTAGTATAGTACTCAACATCGGTCCAATTGAGGAGGTAGGGAGATTCATGCCTAAGTGAGCTCCCAACTTTGTAATTAGTTAGAGTACTGGTTAGGTTAGTTTCTTAATCACTATTCTTGTTTTGCTAGATAACATACCTAAGTTGAAGTAACAGTGCATCTAGAGACCTGTGATTCGATACTTTTATTACTTTGCTTACCCTGTATTATACCCGATCATCGGTTATACTTGACCTTCAATTGAGAAGTTGTAGTTAGCCCGAGCCAGCTCTCAATTGGGCATTTGATCAATGATGAATCATGGAAGGTATGAGGGCCAAGGTAGATCATTTGAAGATTATATCATACTGTGAATGAAAGTCAACCACGTAAAACTCAATAGTTTGGGTGGATGTAAGGTCCACCCCCACCTATTGTTACATTTGTAGTAAGAATTTCTTAATCTTCAACCTCGTTGCTAGAGAATCCAACCATGGACGTTTTGAATTCTCTCATTGAGTCCTTTAATTATCCCATAATCACAAATGCACGGTAAAACATTATGTCAGAGAAGCTCTTAGTTTGATTTTGTTATGAGACAATCCAAGTACCATATCGGTAAAATAAGGGAAGAAATCCTTGTATATAAGTGTTCACCTAGCCCAATTAGTACGAGACTATTTGGGAAGGAACCCAAAAGTAAAATCGTGCGGGCTTGACCCAAAGTGGACAATATCGTACTAATTGAGCTGCCCAATTTTGACAAGTGATATCAGAGCCTGGGGCGGTGGACGTCAGTTTGGCGGACTCTCATTCGATAATCTTGGGATTTGAGATCTGCGTCTTGCACCCCCTTGGACTGGGAAAAAAATTAAAGGGTATAGGGGAGTTTCCGTCCCTAGGTTGCCACCACCTTCATTTACAGAAAACAATCAACCCCCGATTTGAATTGAATCAAATGCCCTCGACCACCACTACCACCCAGCGACCCATCAAATTTGTTATAAGAGGGAAGTCAGCTAGCTAAGATTTGTCATAAAGAAACCGAACCCACCTTTGTTTACCCCTTGCTCTCATTCCAACTATCTAAACTCTGAAGTCCTTTTTTTTTTTTTGGTTATGGCTTCACACTTGACACTCATTCTTCGGGCGAGGGATAATTTTCATTCATGAAATACACTCATTCTTTAGGCAAGCGAGGATGGATAATTTTCATCCATAAAATATATAAATAATGGTCGTCGACACCGAATAAATAATGAGTAGTTCGAACAAATAATGTGTTCTGGAATGCTTTCAAAACATGAAATCTCATCGCGGTTCGTTGTAAGTTGTGTACATCAAACTATTATGTAATTATATGAAATTTGAGCATTATGTTATTGACTTCTTATTACGTTTAGAGTTGACATTACTACTATATAGTTCATTTTTTATGATACGGAAAAGACACTCCCTTGGCCAATTTTCTGGCTCCGTCACTGAATCCAAGTACCACATCGGTAATGCAAGGGAAGAAACCCTTGTATATAAGTCTCCACCTAGCCCAATTAGTACGAGTCCTTTTGGGAAGGAACCCAAAAGTAAAACCGTATGAGTTTAGCTCATAGCGGACAATATCGTACTAATTGAACTGCCCAGTTTCAAAAGTTGTTACTTTTGGCTTTGAATCCTTTCTTTTTCATTTCCTCTCATTTCGTAGACAGACTCCTTTTTTTGTAAGTAGGCTTTCTCGGGTCGACATCCATCTTTGTACTTCTTCTCGAGCTCGTGCAGGGTGTCATTCACAAGTTGCCTCTCAATCTCATATCTGAGTAGCCTCAACTAATCAATCATATACTCTTACTATATGGTTTTGCAATGTTAGAAAGTATACAATTAATACAAATCATAGAATAAGAGTATATGAACTAATATTACAAGAGAACATGCAAAACTAGGTATATAAACCAATTTTATAACTTACACAAATCAGACTATGTTTCCATCACATTGTTATTATAAACATAGTAATTTATATTACAAACCATAAGTTTTGTCACTATGACTACTTACAACACAAATGGATAATACTTATATTAAAAAGGTAATGTCTATTTTTTATCCAAACCTTTTTCAGATTCTTTTATATTATCCAAACATATCGAAATACTAAGAATTAGCCAAATGTTAACATTCGGTTAGCAATATTGTTAGTAATATTGACTTGGCAATAAGATACTGACTTGGAAGAGACACATGAAGGTCAACATTCCAAACTTTTAGTATTTTAACTAAGAAAATAGTTATAAAATTATTAACGATAAAGTCAAAATGGCTAATATTCTGATGCATTACGAATTAATAACATTTTAATAGGTTTGGATAATATAAAAGAATCTGAAATAGGTTTGGATAAAAATAGACATTACCCTATTAAAAACCAGACAAGTTTAGATCACATACTCCTTAGCATACAAATGGATAAATAAATGAGAAATTTTACAATGCTTTATAGTATCATTGTTTTCATTTACCAAGAAAACCTTTATGGTACCTATTGAAATTGTATTTTTGAACGTTTTAGCGCAAATTTTAGTTTGTACCTAAAGTTGTTTTACAAAAAATTTACGGTCCAAATTTGACTTGTACCTTTAACGTCATGGTACAAATTCAGTTCGTTCCCAACAGTGTAAGACCCTATTTTTACACGCAAATTAACAAATGAAAGTGAAGCACGGGAAGTTCGGCATCGAGAGAAAGAATAACAGATCACAATGGGCAACTCCCTTTCTTACTCACGACACGACTCTATTGCGGGAACGGCTACGGTGCTAATTGTACAATAGTTAGCACCGTCCTAACCAAAGGAAAAACTACTACTAGTTTGAATTAGTAGTGATTTAGCTTAGATGTTGTATTGATTTTATAATAATCCGTAGTGATTTCGTTATTTTTAGTAGCGTTTTTTGCTAGTTATCACGGTGCTAACCCCTATAAGGGTTAGCACCTAATCCCATCCCCTCTATTGCAGTTCACAATGGCGACGCTAATTTTCTTCGATTTGGCAAGTCTCACGATAATCCGGGTCGGTCCGTAACGGCAGCTATGCGGAAAGAAAGACTTGTATATCAGCAGCAACGTGCGTCAAAGAAGCAGACCAAGTCAGACAAGGAACTACGTCGTTAGAAGTAACGTAGAGGAATCTGATAGCTCCATTTGTTCTTGGTTTTTGTTTGTTTGTTTCTTCCCTTTTTTTCTCTTCTTCTTGCCCTTTTTATCCGACTATGACTTGGCCTAAAACTGGGGACCGAAAGGGTGCAACCACTGATTGCCTTTAATGGGAAAAGGGAGCTGGGGGAACAGTGTACTCAAGAAACCTCTCTCTGTCTCTCTGGTTCTGCAGGAGGATTAGCTGTTACTGTACTTCCTTTCACACCCATTTACTGCTTTTAGATTTGGCTTCCACAACAGGTAACGTGTGCTCCCTCTCCGCCTCATCCCACCCCCTCCGCCCTTCCCCACCAATCACTTCACATTCCTTCCAATGTTCAACACAACACAACTGCAAGACGATGCCATTAGGGTTGGGAGGCGGTGCGGTCTTATCTAGACTAAATCATATATACGGTCTATGGTCTAGATCGAGAGGCTAGAATATACATCAGAAACCAGACCACGTATTGACCAGAAACCAGAAACCACACCACATACTATTAGGGTTGAGACTAGGGTCTTGTTGGGGGGAATCGGGAGAGTGGTCGAGTGGACTGCTAACAATTATTGAGAAGTCGATTGGATCCACGATTTGGTCCGGTAAACTGCTATTTAGACCAGACCACGAGATCAAAACATCATATAATACAAACTATGAACCAAACCAGACCAGACCATTTTTAACGAACTACAGTTCGGACCAAACTATACGGTCTGTTTGGTCCATGATGTTTCTAAGGTTTGGTCTATTTTCGCAGCCCTAGCTGCCATTGCATCCGTCTACACGTACATGCATACTGCAATAGCAAGTATAATAATGCATTTCGTGACAATGTCAAACAGTCTGAACAGCAATCACTATACTAATGGAGCACATCAAACAAACGAACTCTCTAGAAAGAAACAACTCTGGCATCTGGCTTTACAGTGCAAGCAAACAGAGAGAATGAGATAAGATGAAAACTTCTCAAAAAGGAGAATCTCCATTGTGTTATAACTTTCTCAAGCATCTATTCACGACTCCTCTGCAACTAATTTTGAGTGGGTGAAAAGCAGATGGCTCCTTTATCCCTTTGCCATCTAATGATATACCATCCTCTCATATTCTATAGGCGCTGGCATTCAGTAAATGTCCAGTTACAGCAACCCCTGACACAAGTTTCCCTATTGTTTGACAGCTTAAGAAAGGCACTAACTTTGATTCACACAATCTCCTTCCTCAAGTAACAAGAGATCCAATGCATAAGCATAGCATGGTTTGCAAAATCAGGCTATGTACTAGTTTCAGGCCTTGCACAGACTTAAGCAAATTTCCGACTATCATCTAGAATGCACATATAGTCAGCACTGGGTGACAGAAAAACTCTACCTTCAGACGCTTGAGACCACACTGTGAATTTTATATTTGCACACAAGGGATTTCTTTCCTAGCAGAACTACTTTTCACTAATCTCTAATCAACTGAAGTTGGTAGCAAACTAAAATGATTGGCCCCTTAACCTCCAGAATCAATTCACTAGGATGATCAGTGATTAAACAGTGTAGAGTCACTACTGTTTCTACATTCCAGGATATTAGTACAAACATCCAGCTTAAGTTCATCATACGATGAGGATTTCCACAACATGAAGCCCATCCAATTGTGCAATGAAAATCATAGAAGATAAACAAGCAATCATCTAGCATAACAATTTATCTGAACTTGTTTCTTCCATTGAACAATTGCAAAGAAAATTAAGGGAGCAGTAAACCATATGACTAGTTCTGTGTTCTTTGTCAAATGAGGGGACACAAAATCCATCACCAAAGACTGATGAAAACCTACCAAATCTGTCGGTCCAAATTATTCCCTATTCCGTGCCCTACACGAGCAAATCTTGAAAAAGAATTTCAATATGGGGAAGATATGAATCAAGTCAAAGAAAATGAAACAATGTAAGTTAAGAACCCGAAGACTTCCTTGAAGCAAAACGTTCTATTGAATCTCAGTAAAACCTGAAGGTTCTTCCCAATTAGCAAAGAACAAAAAAGGATCTGGAAAAGAAGAAAGAAAATGAGGTAGAAAATTACCCATTAGCAAGAATCCTGTGTTGAAGGGGGGGAAACAATCAATCTTGGTACATCCTATTAGCAGGAGGCACCAATACAGATCACAAGCTTATGCCAACTCAGCATCCCATAACCGCACAATTATAGACAAAATTAACGGATTGCTTCCTCGCAAGCAAGTCCCAATGCGGAGGGCCTTCACTTGGTACCCATGAATTCAGCTCTATAAAACCTTCACCAGATGTCCTCGGCCCACCAATAACTATGAGCTGATCTCCGCATGCCCTAAATGCAAGACCCCAACCGTTCATTGAGCATGCACGTTCAGGTAGCCTTCCCACAGTAAGCCAGGATTTCCCAACCTTGTCATATTTCTTCAACTCCATATCACTATGATCAGCAGCGTACAGCTGATTATTAACTACAGCAAGCAAAGGTGGAGCCCCAGCAGCAGCAGGCATTCCATCTCTAGCAGCGGGATTCCTCCCAGGGGACATATTAGGAATCTCGGTCCACTTCTTTGCTTCGAGGTCATATTCCTCTCCACATGTAAGAACATCATTGCTTCCTACAATGCCTCCATTGCTTCCTGCAATGCCTCCAACAACATAAAACTTGCCATCCATAAATACTGCTGAGCATAACTTTCTTGGCTTGTTCATGCTTGGCAGTGTCAACCAAGTTTGAGTCTCTGAATTGTACATTTCTGCAGAACCCAGGATGTTCCCCTGAGAATCACAACCTCCAGCCAAAATTGCAATCTCTCCAAGGCTAGCTGATCCAAACAAGCATCGAGGGGAATTCATTGTCATTCCAGAAGACCAAGAATTCGTCAAAATACTGTATCTATATATAACATGGGACATCACCTCCTTCCCAAATACAAGAAGTTCGGTACCCACAGCCAATGACTCTTTGTCGGAACACATGAAGCATTCATTGGAGGGCATTCTAGGTAGATGCATCCACCTGCGTCGAATGGGATCAAACGCCTCCCATTCAAGCAAGTGGCAAGAAAAATAAACCCAGTGTTCAATTACACCACGTTGCCTTCTCAATTTATACATCTCCCCACTCCTGATTAAGGACCGGAAACCCCTGTTAAGAGATGCTAGAGATCCGTAATCCGACCTAGAGATGCGGATGATGCAGTTTATAGACATGTCCCTGCCAATAGCATCAATAAGGGGATCAGAATCAGAGGATTGACCAGCCTGATCGTCTTCATCAGACTGCTGCTCAAGGCCGACATTTCTCTGAGAATCTGAAACCCTACGCAACTTGCTCAGCCGAAAATCATCTTCAGAATCCTCAAGGGAGTGCTTGCTGCCACCAGCCCGGTAGTTCATAAAAGACCACTGAGACTCGGATTGGCAGGAACTACCAAACACTCTTGTAACCAGACAGGAGTCGCAGGACCGGCCCTCCAACATGTCTCTGCAATGAAACCATATAAAGAAAAAAGAATCAAAATCCCAAATCAACCATAACCCAAATCCTCAAATCGTGTTTTAAAACCAGAAACTGGGAAAAAATTTACAAGAAAACCAAGCAGACAGCAGAAAAGCCCCATAAATAGCAGAACTAGGGAACTGCAGAATCAGACTTCATCGACAGAGAAGCGAGCTGTACGCATTAGATATTTCCAGCGTTCCTATGAAAGGTTCCATGGAGTATCCAAAAGAAAAGACTGGAAGTTCCAGTAGTCTGACTATATGAACTCAAGAAACATCGAAAGTAAATCGAGCAATAACCTTTCTATATCTTGATTAGGAAGAGATGAACACGGGGGCAAAAAAAAAAAAAATTTGAATACAATTGGCTAAAATCCGCTTCCCACTTGCTAACATCGGCTGCCGATCTGAATCCAAATTAATAAACAGGATCCAGCAGAAGCGGGTGAACTTCCCCACCAATTGAATGAAAAGAAAAGCGGGCAAAAGATGAACTGTAATCAACGATTAGAAGAAGAGCTACACACGAGTCATCCAGATCTCCCCAAAAAAAAAAAAAGACAAAGAGAGAAACAAATTGTACCCTTGGAAGCTACAACAAGGGGATGAAACAAAGATCAAAATTTATCCAAAAAAAAAAATTTTGAGCATTCCCAAAAGAACCCACCACGAATCGAATTCTGATCTGTTCCATTAGACTAACTGGAACGGTAATGACACAGAGAAACAAAAGCCCAGAAACAGACGGTTGAATAAGAGAGCATTACGGAGCGAGGAGCCACCAGAAAAAAAAAAAAAACAATACAAAGAAGGAACGAATGGACTTACTGACTGGAACAAGGTAAGAATCGCAGTTTGCAATGAAGGAAGATACTTGATTGAAAGTTTCTGTATTCCCCGGTAAAGAGAAAGAAAAAAAATTGGGCTTTTGCTATCTCTCTTTCAGCTTCTGTTCTTCGCGTATTGAGGGGGCGGGGCGGGGCGGGGCTACAAAATTTTTCCCTCACTTTCTCTTACTTGCTTGGGCTTGGTACGGTATTGAGTTGGAGGAAGAAGGTTTTTTTGGGGGGTTTGCTCTCTGCAAATCAGATGAAAGCTTTGGTCATGGCTTTGTTTGTGACAGAGCGGAAGAGAGAGAAAAGAAAGAGAGAAATTAGCGAGCGAGAGAGAGAGAGATAAGAGAGAGAAAGCGAGCTCGTTCTCCGGGTCCCTTTTTCCTTTCCCCTCTCTTTCCTTCTGTCTCTCCGCAATTATTTATTTATTAAATTAATTAACCTAATTAATTTCAAGGAATAAAATATTCGGCAACTGTAAATAAATAAAAAAACAATTCTCCCCTCTTTTTCCCGAATTTTCTTCCTTTTTTGGTTTTGGGTCGTCCGAGGGACGGTGGTGCGGTTGTGGCGAGATGGTGGGTGTGGGGACCACGGAACTAATCTTTTCGGAAAGAATTAAATCTTTTTGAGAAAATTAAAAAGCTGGGTTGAAGAAAGAATATTATTATAAAAAAAAAAATTAATTTGGAAAACGGAATTTGGGAGGAACCGGCAAAACGGTAGGCGGCTGGCAAGAGACACGTGGTGGCCGCGGAAAAAGAAGAGAAGCGTATGGAAGTGAGTGCTTCTTCTGCCGGCTGTTATTCAAAGGTCTGACGGCGAGGTGAGGAGAGAGAGAGAGAGGGGAAAAGGAAAGATAAAAATGGAATTACTCAGGGGAGGTTGTAATTTTTGGTTAAAAGAGGTAAAAAGAGAGAAAGAATAACGGTGAAATAGAGTAGAGAGTGTTTCTTTTTTTTTTTTTTTTACTGACGTTTTTTCACAGCAGGTGCAGTTTAACAGAATTTTGAACTTCAACTGCTACACGTACGAAATTGCGAGCGGAGAATCAGAGTTCAGAGAGGGGAGAGGGGCTTTTCTGCATATTGTGTTGGACTGTTGGGTACTTGGGTTGGTTTGTAACCGATAATGTCAAGACTAAACCGATTCTTGGATCAGGCTATATCATATCGAATTGAATATAATATGATCTAGTTTTTTGTATTGTGAATTTTACAAATACTAAAAAAAATGGACAAAATTGACATTTAGATCGGATCAAATCGAATCGAATGCGTCGTTGATCCCGTCTTTGACCCTAAGATGTCTTTCACCTTTGGACCGATGTGCTCATGATTTGGTCCGGTCTGGTTACACATTGTGCACCCAACTCTAAAATTATGTTTAAGCCATCGAATTAAATATTTTAATTGGTAACATTAGTCGGATATGAGTATATAACATAGAATCACAACTAATCAATACATCACCTTAAACCATATATCTTAAAATTAGGCTGTGCAAATTCATATTTTTCTTGTTCATTATAATACAAGTGACGGTTGATATTGTTTTCGCATGAACAACTCGCCTACTTAGAATGACGATTATGAAGCGACGTGAGTGCATCGACGACAAATCATGTATTGATGTGATAATTTAAATTAAACTAATATGTTAATAAAAAATGTGATAATTGTGAATTATTTATTAATTATTTCAAATAATTATCTTTGGTGTTATTTGAAATAATTCATTTGAGCCGAAGGTAACACAGCCGAGTTGGTTGGGAGTGTGGTCTTTTGTGTCTGAGATGTGTGAGGTCCCAGGTTCGAACCCCGCTACATCACTTGGTGTTCCTGGAGGCACCGCGAGTGCTGGAGACTTTGTCTTCCCCTAGTATCGGGTGCTAGGCCTTGAAATTGTTGTTGATGCAGGTATTCCCCAGGTTTCGTAGAACCTGCTGTCATGAAGTGACATGTGAAGTTGAGGTTTCTGGGTAATAAAAAAAAATCATTTGAGAACGAATCTTAACCCTTTGTCTTTTTCTTCCTCTTGACTCTCCCCTGGAAGCAAGAGATGAAGACATAAGCCTTTCTTATGATCGATCCACCGGTAGACTGCTCAGGATTTCAAACTCAACGGTGGCAACTAAACATGAGGGTTGTGCTCGTTGCAGGACTTAACCTACCAACTTTTTATGAGCAAATTTGATCTTCGATCTGAGCCAAGACTTTAGACGAAACGGAAATAGTATCTTTATTTGAATATCTTTTGTTAGCCAATTTTTTGGGAATTCTCTTTCGGATAATGGAACTCCATTATAAGTGCATGTAACATACATTTCTTTCTTTCAATCCTTAACCTTCCAAGAACACGGAGGAAATTTTGTTTTATCATAGGTTTTTAAGAAAATAATTGACAGATGGGATAGCTTAACAACATCCAATCCTTATTTTTTAGAATGAAGTAAGCGTAGTTTTGAAAGTATCAGCACTGATTCCTCCCCTACCACCACCAGTCACCGGAGCCCATTGAACTGCCCCAAAATCTAGTCCCCGAGAGGGCTCGAGAATTTCAATTTGGGTGGGGTGGGCTAGAAATCATGGTCGTCCTGGAGAAATCCATCACTACATTGTCGATGTTGAGCATAAGGTTGTGGTGAAGCATTAGATCTGTTGTACCCCAAAATCAGACTCGATTCCGGTCGGTCCAAGGTGTTGAAAAAAGAGAGTTATCGACAATAAGATAATCAAGTCTAGGACCGAGATAGAGATTCTAGAGCACGACATGTATGCGATAACTCGCCGTGGAGGCAAAATCCGTCGGACAATCAAGACATCGGAGGGATTCTCAACTCCTACGACTGGGAATTTGTTAGAAGAAATCGGGTACCCATGTTTGGACTTCCTCACCTGTTGTCACCTGTGCAAGAAGCAGCTACAAGGCCTAGACATATAGATGTACAACTACGAGACTATGGATGTTTCTTTTTCCAAGTTGATGTTTTTTTCCTTCTAAATAGTTGCATGTTTTGGGTTGTTTAGTGAGAAGAGTGGTGACCGATGGTGTTCAATGTTGAACTTACAAAGGGAGACGACATTTTGCAATAGTGAATGCAGATCGAGGCAAATAGTGATGGACGAATAAGAACAGAAGAAGTAGAAGCAGAATAACAAGTGTAGGATGAGGGAAGCTAGGAGATCTATAGTGGATATGACGTCGATTTCAGGGAAGAACCGTAATAGTCTGCCCATGTTTTCAACTGATAATCTCGCTATCTGATAATGATTTGTTTCATAGTTTTTGAAGCGGCACATCACACAAAAGAAGAAACATGATTGATTAGTAGTCATATATATCTAATGAACATGGATGGTGTGACCAATGGATATTGATCATATATATGGTATCGGCTCTAAATAGGAAACCCACCCACAAATTTGGGGAAAATGAGAAGTAATGCAACATCTCAACCTTTTTCGGACAAAATATTGCCCGCTTTGGGTTTAGACTCTCACGGATTTGGTCTTGGGATGTATATAAATATGACTTACCATAAGGTCACTCATCCTTCCAGTGCTCCATAATGATTACGTTTAACTTCGAAATTCTCATAAAAACTCTTTAATTTCACCGCAAAATGTGTCTTGTCTGTTAAATTTAGTTTCTTACTCAAGAACTATGGATATCTTTCGCACTTGGTAAACGTGGGTTTTGTCTAAAGTGTTTTACATACACCCCACCCTTTGGGACTCAATGTTATAGTTGACGTTTGTTCCACCATCGTTCAAGAGGGACGCGAAGAGGCTATGATACCACTTGTGACATCTCAAACCTTTTTACTACAAGATATTGTTCGTTTTGGGTCTAGGCTGTCACGGTGTTTTCCATTGGGGTGCATATCAAGGTGACTTCCCATAAGGTCACCCATCCTGGTAGTGTTCCACAATGAGCATGTTTAGCTTTGGAAATCTCACAAGAACTCATCCATTTCACGCCAAAACCCGTCTTGTTGGTTAATGTTTGGTTTTTTTTTACTTATGAACCATGAATCTCTCTCGTGCTTTATCAATGTGGGATTTGCCTAAAATGTTACAAGTAAAATGTGACAAAAAAGAACATCACTTTTTTTTGTTCGGATAGTTGGAACCAGCAGAGCAAGAGAAGTGAACTGTGAAGTCTAAGGCAAAGATTTTTTTTCTTTTGTTGCTTTGATAGAACCCTCGCGATCTAAAGCGTCTAGGGTAAAGTTACAAAATTGGGGATAGATCGAGGATTAGAGATTTGATAGAGGATTGGTAAGATTTTGGGATTTTGGGATAAGATGAACTGAATTGAGGATTAGAAATTTAGAAGAGTAAATTGGGCAGGATAAGGAGAGAAGGACTTGCGGCCTTGATAGGGAGAAGAGACGAGATCAATAGAAATAGAAAATAATACATGAGATGGATAACTAAAAAATACTTTGTCTATTGATTTCTGATTATTCTAATAAAAGACCCGAAATACATATATAGAAAAAGACTAGAATAAACATGATAAATATCCTAATACTAACCGGATACTACTAACCCTAATAATTATCCTACTATAATTAATAATAGAAACCCACAAGGACCGGATTTCTATCATACCCTCCCCCTTGAGACCAACCTTACCCTCATGTGAAGTTGTATCATTATGTTGGTCCTCAAGTCCTAGTCATTCCAATAAAACTCCATACATAAGAGACCTAACCAGACATTCCATTTTCGACCTATGTCCCACTTGAATAAGCTCGATTTATTGGCACGTCTTCAACTTGCTCTGCTAGTCTAGAAGACCAAGGCCAACGAAGCTTTCCTCGCGACCGGGCTTGCTCTCCTCCTGCCCAGACTTCCCTCTTTGATTCGGCATTGCCCATTTCCAACTTCTCTGGCAAAAATGAATGCATACTCAGAACCGAATATGGCATGTGCTTTTTTCCTCCAGAGGTGGTTCAGTTGGACACTATGGAGGCGAACAAGACGTAGCGGGTTGCACAAAAGTAGGGTAGTGTCGCCGCCTTCCTTCTTCTCTCATCCTCCGGAAAATCCTTCTAAGTCATATCATCTGGCGACAAGCAATCCACCAGGTGGACGAAAAGAGATCTTGAAGTCGTGACACTCGTCGTAATCTCCAGCGTCTTGACCGTCGTTGCTGCGAATGGAATTGTCGTAGATTGCGGTATGCTATTCGCGTCGTCGCCAAGGAAACTCGATGAACTTGTCCCTCCTCAGCGCCAACTATCAACATTTGCGCGGATCTCCACCTTTTCATTGGACGCCTACAAAACTGGATGTAGCTTCCATTCCTGAACCATTTTCTCATAATGTGGATGTTGTCTCCAGTAGCTAAAGTACTTAAAAGAACGAGGTAATGTTTTAAGTTTTGAATTGGTATGGATCAAGATGCCATAATGAATTGACAAACCTAGAGGGAGAATCTTCATTGCCCCAAGTAAGCCAAGCTCCATCAACCCTATTATCTAACAAATATATGTCCTCAATCCACCGACAAAAATTAGCAGTACTTTCACCCAACTTCGCTACATTAGAAGTTTGTTTATAGTCATAGGCATAATACTATTATGAAGTGCTTATGTCTATATACATTATTTGCTAAACGAACACAAAATATGCCGCGCTATTCTCTAATTTCCCTTGTTTTCTTTTTACTCCTTCTATTCCTAAAGGAATAAAAGAATGTCGGTGGTAAATTTGTTGAGCCATGTATCAACTAGATTAATCCAACACTAAAAACGCCCATAACTCATCCACCAGGCCACCACCCATTTGTTTTCAACACTTTTGGCCAATCAATGCCCATCAAAACTCTAGAAACGCTCTCTTCCTCCTCATCGTAGAAGGCAAGTCAAGCTCTCCCAAGAGAAGTCACTTTCTCCATACTAGGAAATTTAAACATAAGTAAGGATTTTTACTATGCATTTTCTCCCTTCTTCTCTTCCTTTCTCTAGATTTCCCTTGGTTGACTTAATTTTTTGGAAAAACATTCATGCCCCTGAGCCTTTGAATTCTTTGTAGATTTTGCTCCATCCAACAGTGAATTAAGTTATGTGGTAATATCAAGATAAAAACTCACAAGTTTAATGCTTTGTCTCAAGTTGAATCTTGGCAGGAGCATATAACTGAGTATCGAAAGAAAAAAAAATCACATTTCTTTATACGTGTTTTTAAAAGAAGACGGAAATTTAAGGACTTGGGCATATTCACTTCTAACAAAAAAAACTGCACATTGAGAACCATTCACAATTTTTGGCCTACACAAATGTAATAATTTACACAAAAGTTTGAAAACAATAAACATACACGGGCCTAGGGTTGTAATTTCATTCCATTCAAGATCATGAAGAAGAAGACAAAAGCAGGCCCTTCCTTTTTTCATCTCCTTTGCTCTTTCTTCTTTTAAAATAATTTTAAGAAAAAATTAAACTTGAATCTCCTCTATTCGTCTAATAGCTTCACTCATGTCTAACCGTTGGGTAGGGTCAGTTTCGATGCAAGCCAAACCAACCTGCAACAGTTGTACCATTCGCTCTGCCGATTTGGTACCGTTCATCATTTCTGGATCTATGACTTCTCTTTCTCTCCCTTCTCTGCTTGCCTGAACAACCCACTGCACCACATCTGTCCCGCCTTTCCCGTTGGTTAGGTACTGTGAAGGGAATTTTCCCGTCACCACTTCAAGTATTATGATCCCTAAGCAGTACACATCAGACTTATGGGAGACTTGGCTATACTGGATATATTCAGGGGACTTGTAGGCGAACATAGCTTGGGAGGAATGCTTTGGGTTTATGAGCGGGTCGAGTGCATAGTCGCTCAACAGAGGCTCATAGCTATTGTCTAGGACGACATTGCTGGATTTGAGGTTGCCGTGTGGAAGATTGTAAGATGCATACTCTGAGTGTAGGAAGCGTAAACCATTTGCTATCCCCTTTATTATCTTCAATCGGGTTGGCCAATTTAGATCTGAGTGGCAGATTCCTCGATCACCTGGAATAGTATAAAGTAAAGATATAATATGATAATTTGTATTAGTTCTAGCTACAAAATGTTTCACAGAAAGATCCTAAAAACTACATGTCATAATTCAACCTCAATAAACCTTTACATTCTTAGACTTTTTGCATTAAGTTTCATCGCCCATTCGCACCTTTAGCCGAACAAATTATGTAACAAAAAGCTTTTTGAGACCCAACTTGAATAAGCTACACTTACAATATACATATTAGCTAATCAGTCCCAAATTTTCACATTCAATTATCACATTATATATTAGCCAATTAGTCCGAGCTTTCATGCATTTCTCAATCATTATTTTTTTATGATGAAAATTCTCGTAAGAAACTAAGTGAATGCAAAGAATCATCATAATCATGAGCTTCACCATGTTGAAAAATATCAGAGACAACTCTTTGAACAAATAAAAAAAATTCACTAGTCTATTATACGAAGCAAATTATCGTTAAGAATAATACAATAAACAAAATAGTATACTGAGCATATACAAAGAGAGTTGCGTACCATGCATGAGATATAGCAAACTCCCTTTGGGCATGTACTCAGAGACAAGAAGCTTCTCTTCTTTCCGAAAATGGTAAGCCAAAGGAGTCAAAATGTTTTTGTGTCGAATCCTTCCAAAACGCCTCATCTCCGCGTCGAACAAATCCCTACCAAGCATATTCATCTCCCTTATTCTTTTCACCACCACCGATAACTTCAAAGAAGACATTGTAGCCTTATAAGCCGACCCCAGCCCGCCATTCCCTAGCACCTCTGCCGCCGCCTTCATTAAATCCGGCAACCCAAATGGGCCCTTCTCGTCATTTATCATGATAAGGTCCCCCATCCCATTTCTCCCTGCCCCTGAGCTCTGCGCTGGACCCCTCCTAGTTGTTGTTGAATGCTCCCCTCCTCCTCCACCGCCTCCGCCACCACTACCCTTTCGATGTGACTCCTTCTTCCCCGCCGCTGGTAAGCTCACCGGCATAACAGGCTCTCGCTTGTTCAGATTCTCCTTCTCCAACACGTTGAACGAGTCCTCTCCATTCTTCTTCCTAGATGATAAAACTGTGATCACAATCACCATGACTATAATCAACAGCGCCACCACCCCGGCGGCCACATTCGGGTGTCCTCCCGCTGGGACTTCCTCTGCATCATCTTCCTCGTCCTCTCCGTTATCGTCAGAATCAGGAGTAGGCGATGCTGCATCTTTTTCGGCACAAGGGATAGCTAGTGGGCTCCCACAGAGGGCGTCGTTCCCTACAAAAGAGGAGGCATTGAATTTGGAGAAGCTTGGAGGGATGGGCCCCTCTAGCTTGTTTTGAGAGAGGTCAAGGGAAGTTAAGGTGGTGGGATCCTTGAGTGATGGAATAGGGCCCGAGAATTGGTTTTCTTCGAGGTGAAGCTCCTTGAGATGCGGGAGCCCCATAACGGAATCAGGTATCTTGCCCGTGAACTGGTTGGTGTCGAGCCAAACTTTCTTGAGGGAAGACATGGGGGTAAAATATGCTGCGGGAATTTCTCCGGTGAAGTTATTGATGGAGAGGAGGAGGGCTTTGAGGGCGCCGAGCTTGTTGAAAGCTGGGATGGGGCCTGTAAATGAATTGTTGGAGAAGCTAATTGTTCGAAGCCCTGGGAGTTTCTGAAGGGCATCGATGTCGATATTTCCGGAGAGGGAGAGGCTGGAGAGTCTAATTCCAGAGACGGTACCACCACCATCGCAGACAATGCCGACCCATCTATTTTGGCAAGGGGAGGTACCAGGGGACCAGCCATCAAGGGAACCACCATGGTTAATGGATGATTTGAGTTTTAGGAGGGCTTCTTCGTCGGGGAGTGAGGAGGAGAAATGAGGGAGGAGGAGTAGGAGAAGGAGAAGGAGGAAGAAGGATATGATGTGGCCGTGGTGGTGGTGGTGGGGGCGATGGCGGTGGTGGTGAACAGCGGCCATTTGCTGGGCCGGAAATGTAGAAGAACAGCTCCGGGTAGAAACGAGCCGCTGTTCGGAGAGAAATTGTGATGGAAAGTGTCCTTTTTGGGGAGAGGAATGGGTTTGTTGTTGTTGTTTTGGTTTAATTTGGGCGGGTGAGTCATTTTGGCGATTACAAAAATTTGGCCTTTGAAAGAGGGTGAGTCTGGTGGGGGAGGGGAGGAACCTCTACTTTCCTTGTTTGCTAATAATAGGAGCTATTTATGGATTTTTTAGGATTGTTCCGTTTTCAAAATTCTGGGAGGGGACGGTTTTTAATTTTGATTAGAGTTGACATGGTCAACCCTTCTTTTTTTTAGAAAATTGCAAAATCTAACTTCCTGCTTCATCCTTTAGATTCTCATGCCCCCAACCGTGTAGTCTTTTTAATTGGATAGTTGTTGTTCCTGTTCTACTTCTTCTGCTTTTACATTAAAAAATATTTACTAATGAGAATATGTTGGTCGTGTCTTCCTTCTATAGGTTTCAAATGTCACGTTTTAAAGAAGAGTGTCATCTAATGGAAGATAAGCTATTGGATTGAAAATCATTTGAGAGGAAAAGTTTTATATTCTTGATTGACTAAATGCAAGAGGCACGAATACAATAAAATGAAATCAAAATTAAAAACTAATTTAGAAATGTTAAGAAAATATGGGGAAGATGAACAACTACGTTTTTTCACTAAAGAAGATGAACAACTATAAAAACAAAATGTAGAGAAAAATGATAAAGACACAAAAAAGGGAATGTTCTTATTTATGTCCATTGTTTGTATAATTTGTGCTTTATTTATGAGTACAAACCTATAGATATACAACTCTATCATAAATGTAAATAATGAGGACTAATGAGCAATTGAGCATAAATTCAAATGTGAGGCGAGTTACATGTAAAACTTATTTGTGCACTAATGTGTGCGTCTAATGTGGTCATCTACACAATCAATATTTTTATAACACTCGCCCTTGCATGACCATTAGATGAAAGTACGCCTCGTTAAAACCTTGCTAGGGAAATCCAATGGGATAAAATCCTAATGAAGGAAAAGAGTACATATTGATCGCATTATGCTATCTCAACTACCTCGTTAAAAAAACTTACGAGGAAAACCCAGTGGGAAAACCATGGTTATGGGAAACAAAGTGCAGTGTGTATTTTGATCCCCCTCATAAAAACATCAGTTCATTACCATCAAACTTTACAACGATTGTCATCGAGAGTGAACTGTGAACAATGCTTCTAGATTGTCAATTTGGTGCATGATCGTTAGGATCATTTTTCTTCATACATGATTCTCAGGATCATTCCCACTAGACATAGTCCTAGTCCACAAGTTCAAGTCCTTAAATGTGGTTGAATCGCAAATACATTAATAACTTGTCTACTATATTTTGAGTAGCAAGATACATTATTGATCTAATGACATCAACATAATATACTTCAAGACCTAATAATTCACTTCTTTCTTAATGTTTAAACGAATATTTGGTTAATTCCAGTGATCTTATGGCCCTTATTTATTGATTAACGTAATTTGTTCACTAGTTTTTTACCCGCCCGTTGGGCGGTCCAAATTGATTTATTTTTCATTGTATTATTTTATTTTCTTATGATTCATGTATGTTACACTATTATACATGAAAATTTCAATCTCCTTTACCTTATTTCATAAGAAGATATTGTTTGACCCTTTGTATCTTCCATTTATTAATGAAACACTAATTTTATTAAATTATCTTATGTCAACTATTTTGTGTCTACTATTTTTTATTATTATTTTAGATCCTTAGCAATGTTCTGGCATAACCAACCAGAAATAGAACTATCGATGATAGACCATTAATTACACATGTTTTCCCCCTATTCTTGAGCCGTTTGAGACGTTGATTCTCGTGTTTTAAGCCGATTTCACGCTAGGTTGTGCGTTTATGTCATATTTCAGGGCTTAGCGTTGGCATCGAGGCGAAGGAACGAGTTTCGGGTCGAAAGGAGCACGGTTGGGGTGAAGTGTGCTGGAGAAGCAAAATACCCAGCCATGAGCAAAAATACCCGGCCGGGTATTATTTGGAGCAGACTGGGGATTTAACGCTTTGGGTGTCTCTGAGAAGCAGAAGGGGGCCCGGGCAGTGAGCAGAAATCCCCGGTCGGGGATTATTGGCCAGGCCCGGGGATTTTCCCCTGTTACCCGACGATGCGTTTTGAATATACCCGGTCGCCACCCAAAATACCCGACCGGGTATTTAGGCCTAGGATCGCGACAGACAGCTTCTTAAGGGAAAAGAAGGGCAAAAGAGAAGGGTTCCGAGTTTTAGAGAGATAGAGCGATACCTAGAGAGAGAAAGTGACGAACCTGACTCTGCAAGTGCCATAGATCGATCTCCATCACCATTGGAGCCCGGCTTGAGCTTGGAGAAGACCTGATTGAGCGCCAGAAGCAGATTATCATCCTTCACAGTATGGTTTCCGCATCTGAGCTAGATTTCCCATCTCTCTCTATGGAGTAGTTTTCTTATTCACCTGGGTATGAAGAACCCTAGATTTGTATGTTAGGTCTGATTGTATGAACCCAAGTACAGATTCATTGGTATGATTATGTTCAATTGAGGTTTGATTTGTTGAATGGCATGAATCCTGATCAAATTCCTGTTGTTTCTGCTTTAACTTAGAAAGAGAATATCTGCCTAGGTTGATAGAGCACCCTTGATTGAAGGTAGTGAATTGGCAACTTTAGTCGAGGAGCCAATTCACTATTCTGTACCGAATTTGCTTCGGTAGTGGAGGTTTGGTTCGTTAGGGCCTCAATCTGTTTACTCCGGTGGAGGTTAGTCGCCCGCTGTGGACTCAGATTGAGAGGGTCTGGAGACCTTTAGTCGAGACTTCAGACTGTTTAAGAACCTTCCGCAGTATAACTATCATTGAAATTGAACTTGGTGAATTACAATCCGGCTTAACTACAGTCTAGGGGGAACCATATCCAGGTGACCTCTCTCGACTTGAAAACAACCGTTTAATTGCTTTCTTGTTTGCTTGTTTGGACTTGCATTAAAGTTTCACTGCTTAATAATAAGAACTCACGGAGTAGTTATCACATCTAGGACCCGGGTTGACATTAAAACCCAAACCCTCTATACTATGCTTTAGGAAGTGGTTACACTTGGCCATTTTCTAGAGTGACGGTAGGAGCGAGTCAATCGACTATCATTAATTTATTACAATAATATTTTCAGCAAATTTAACCGCATATAAATATAATTGATATTTAGTAGAGGGCTAAATATCCTCTGCAAAACGAATATTTTTTTACCTAATAACAACATAGACGAATAGTGAAAGTTGCAAACTTCAGTACAACTCAATTCGTTCCATCTTATGAATTCCTCAATCATGAACTGGATTGATGCATCAATCCACGCTAAGAAAACAAACAAATGACATTGCACACTTTAAGAAATTGAAAGAACATAGACAACCCAATGACCACCACTACCACTTTATTTCTTATTTGTGACCTTTATAAAACCCCACATCCCTTCTACTTATAACCCCCTGCTACTTACTACTTACTACTTACTGACTATATCATCATTGTAAAGCTAGATAGTAGCAAGCCACTCATGAACATAATAAATATAAAAACATCCTCTGATGGAACATGGTAGGTGACAATCCTCACAATTTTGTTTTCCATTTTAGCATCCGATGAATAATATAAAAGAGAAATGCTAGAAATCTCGAACTTTTGAGCAAATAAGAAAAGACTTTTATTTGTTTTTACGGGGCTTGACCCACTCAATTAATCTTATTCTTTTTAATAATGGGTTTTATTTTTAGAGAGCTAATCTATACAGAAAAAAGTATAGAAACAAACTAAAAGGTTGCATTCATTGTTATTAACTTAAATTTATGTGTTATTAATGATAATGACGATTGAAAGTGTTAATATAAGGTACGCCATTTATAATTAGAACTTGCCCACCATGAAAGGATGAGAGCTATCCATGTGCTGATGTGGCAGTAATTTAGTTTTGAATAATACCTAAAGCGAAGATGAAAGACAATGGTAGATCAAGTAGGGCAATTTACAACCCTACCACCATAATATGAAAGTACTTAAAAAATGGAAAGAAGAGTAGAACCCGACCAGTTAATCACAAGCAGCTAAATACCGTTGGAGAAGAGAGGTCAGTCATCAGCTGCGGATCACGCGAGAATAGGGAGTTGTCGTTAGTACTTGGCTTGGTTTACTTCGTATTCGCAATGATAAGAACTTTTTTGCCAATAGGAACAATAACTACTCAATTGTTTCTCATCTAATTGCTGCCTCTTGTAACTGACGCGCGCAATGAAAAAAACTCTATGTCTTACCATTTTCCTTACATGTTGACCCAATTTCTATCTTTTATTTTTTCCAATTTCCAATTTTAATTTTAGAGAGATCATCTATACTGGAAATCAATAGAAACAAACCAAAAGATTGCATTCATTGTTATTAACTTAATGCACATTTTAATGATAATAATGATGATTTTAAGTGTTAAGGAAAAAATTTATAATTAGAACTTGTCCACCATGGAAGAATTAGAGTCATCCATGTGCTTATGTGGCAAAGATTTAGTTTTGAATTCCTATAATATTAAGTAAGGATAAGGATAAGGATAAGGATAAAGTAAAGTAATATAATTTATTTCTCAAAGGTAATTGAATGTCAAATGTTTATTTTTTCTCTTTTCATATATATTTTGTTTAATCAATAAAAACATTATTTTTTATATTTATGTTTGTTTACTTTTTTCATCAAAATGTAAATTATCATTCAATTTTAGTAAAAAAGAGTAGAAAATTTTATTCATAAGGTTTAATCAGATATTTTTTTTAAAAAAATATGGTATATGTGACTCTCTGTTTTCTTATTTATATTTTGTTTTCTGGAAAAAATTATTATTTATGTGTGTTTGGTTAAGTTTATCAACATATAACTTATTATTAAAGCAAAGAAAAAGAATACATGGAAAATGAAAAAGAATAATTGGATAAGAGAAATGGAAATATTAAAGAAGAGAGAGGTAGCTCCATAAATACATTAATAACTAATTTTTTGTTTGAAAAAAAATGTCCAACTTGGCAAATTTTGGATACTCCAAGTGCTTATGTGGCAAGAGATTGCTTTTGAATTGCCATAATATATAGTATATAGATATAGATATAGATGCAAA